CCCCCCCCCAAAATACTGATATCTACAGCCCAGACCACTCATCCATGGCAAGTAATCCAGTCGCACGGTCCATCAACAGCTTTGTCTCGTCCCCAAATTGCTGCTGCCATCCACCTCGGACATCTCCGAGTCGGTTGAAGCATTTGCGCAGGTTTCCTGGGGAACAAATCGTTCCTCCACTTCGGACATTTCTGAATCTGTAGAAACGCTCCCTTCCCTCGTGACAGCAGGACTTGGTGGAATTTCCAGTCTGATGGCAGTTACCGGGGTCTTTTCCGGTTGCTCTACTGGTGTGTAGGGTCTGAATTCTCCCATCTCATCTGTACTTGTGATTGTCCATTCCCACTTGCGTTTCTTTTCCTTGCGCTTGCGCCTTTTGGCACCTGGGGTTTCTATTTCGCTGTCCGCCATGCGTCTTCGCATTTCTTCAAATGGACCCGGGGTCTGTCCTCCATCTCGGGTCTCGTTGGCTGTGTGGGCTAATGCTAGATCTAAGGATTCGTTTTGGGATTCGGATGGTGTGGCGGAGTAAGGGGAATCCTCGGCCAGGAGTTCAATATGGGATTTTACGTATTTGTTCGTGGTAATTGTTTGGGTAAGGGGGTCGTTGTAACCGACTTTCTTTGCTGTCTTGTTGGCTAATCGTAATGAGCTGCGACTTGGGGTGGTTGGTATAATAATGCTTGTTGGTGGTAAAGGAGAGTTCCTGAGGATGCTGCGCAAGGATCTTGGGTGGGTATATGGTGCGGTTTTTTGGTAATTTATTGTTGTTCTTCGTGCCCTTGGTGTTCTCGGGGTACTTGGGTTGTCCTTATTGGGTACGTTGGCATCGAATGTAAATACTTTTGGTAATTGGTCGCTGGTTCCGGCCGACTGAGGCGGTGTAAAAGTAAATGCTGTTGCTAATGCAAGCTTGTTCTCACCACGTTCGCTGATTGGAGTGTTGCCTGGTTGAGCGGAACTTGGAGTATCTGGGTAGGTAATGGTAAATGGGCCTGGCGTTTGAGTTCGCTCACTAGGGTGTACGTATCCCGTATTGGTAAAGTTTGTTGTTTCCAGGCGTAGCGAAGTTGGTTTGGCTATCTTGAGCTCAGTAGAAAATGGTGGCCTTGCTGTTCTCGGCGAACAATTCTCGATGGCAGCAGCGTATGCATTTGAAAGTGTGTTGAAGGCAGTAGGGGAGGATGGGTCAATGTCGGATTTCAGCGCCGTTGAGGATTTCCCGAAGGTAACTGCTGTTGTTGGTGTTTTGATTTGAAGGCTGAGCCGTGGCCGCTTCTGCGGCGCTGATTGTGCAAAAGACATTGCGGGAGAGCAGGAATTGACCGATACAAGCATCATCGAGACAGCGAGACCAGGAGAGCTCTATCGTGGGAAGTGTCGACAGAAAAGGGAGTAAATGCTTTGGACCCCACCACCTGCTCAGCACTTGATATCAGGAGGTGCTTTGAACTTCTCGGGCGTCACGGCGTCTCGAGTTGGACAAAATGAATCGCTAAAGTGGAAAGATAAGGAGCGGACCCGGAAAAGAATATATGTAAAAGTATGAGAGCAACTCGAAACCCTCGGGCGGGGTCGTCTGTATAAGAAGCAAAGAGGCTTCGAAGTCCCACGATGATTCAAGAAAGGTTGAGACGAGATAGGCTTGTGGGGAGACGCCGATGTAAGGGCTGATGCAGGTGACAAGAAATGGAAACACTTTTAGGCGCGAGACGGGTATCTCTAGAAGTGAAGCTGTTGGTGGGTCAGGATGGTCGAGGACACATCCGCATCCACATCCAACCGCACGCCCCAGCACCCAGCACCCAGCACCCAGCACCAAAATACATCGTACACGGTCGCATGGGATTGGGAGCATCGCATGCATGGGTCCCTGAGGCGTAGGGCAGCCACTCCACACGCTTAAAGGAGACTGGCTAATCAGAGGACCCACCTCGCCCAAGGAAGCGCTGGGNGGGGGGGGGGGAGAATGGACCATGACTGGACGAAAGGTTGTGACGAGGCGTTGCGCTTTGGTGGAAGAGCGGCTGACACATGATGCTGGAACCAATGAGGGCGGCACCAGGCGGGGGGTGATTTATTTCCGTCCTGCTCCACAAACTGTGCGGCAAGACAGGGGCCACTAATAGACGCGAACGCAGTGATGTTGTACAGTCGTGGTGCTGTCAGACTTCAGTACAAGTCAGGAGTCAGTCCGCTTCTCGGCTTCTGCATTTCCCTGAGTTCGGATTTCTCACCGCGGGAAAACAGAAAACAGAACACAGCAGCACGCCTCTCCAGGACTCCCGCATCCACGACTCTGGTTTTCCACCGTTCGCTTATGTGCCAGGCTCCCAGGCTCCGGCTCTCGCCCAAAAGCTAAATTGGCCCATCTCTTACATGACGTCGATCGAAAATGGAACGGGCGTGATAAGATCCGCTTCAAGGGTGCCACGCTGTCCAATTAAGAAAAGTGAAGAGGTCGTGCGACAAGTGTTGTGGTAGAGGGGTTAGAAAAGTGGAGGTCGTGAAGGGATGAAGCTGTCAAAAAAATGCCTTTCTTCGGACGAGGAACTTCTGCTAACCGAACTCGCTTGGTTGGCACCTGCTAGTCCGTCCCCGGCTTATACTTTAGTACAGTCCAAAGTAAGTTACGGAAGATATCGCAATCTACTTTGAAGTAAGAGCTGAGCGGCCTTCAAGCCACAGCGGAAGGCGAACTCAGCCATCCAATACTCGTCATCTGATGATTCAGTTTGCGGTCACCGTTCGAACTTTGATGAGGTGAACAAATCCATCTATCGTAAACACACGTCCTCCGTACATGCAAAGAAAGTTTGGGTCTTCTTCGCCTTCCCCCGTGGAACTGAATCCCGAGGAGGTGACGATGCTGCTCCGAGTAAATATTTACCTCATGAGTAGCTCAGGGGAACCGGAAGCAATTCAAATGAAATTGAAAAGCTTTTTTTCCTTCTTTCATTAATCACTTAGACTTAAGTTGAGGAAGGTGCCATAAGGGGCCAATGCGTGTCCAACTCCCCCTTACCCGGGCCGGGCTCTTACTTCAGAGCTTGGTGAACGCCACTTTGTGGAGATGCTCCAAAGTGGCAAACACCTCTGTGACTGTCGGTCCTATTAATAGGAACCGATCCGCGCCAAGCCGTCTCCAAACCAAACCCCAACATTTCTCCTGACACACGCACGCCGCGAAAACACCAGAGTCGGTCCAGCGTGCAAAACATCGCCACGAAAAGAAGTCAAAATCAATGAGAAACGAGATCGTTGTTGCCTCACCTTTTGCAGATTGACGCAACTCCCGTTTCCACTTCTTCGACCAATCCACGCCATGCTCGGGTCCCCACTTGTCTCGGTACGGGCAATTTTCTCCGCAAAAGCGTACGGCCATGGCGAGGAACGATAGGAGGATTATAATTCACTTTGTTAGCTAAGCCTCAAATCTCCTATCTGGATGCCGTATTAGTGGAAGCGAAAACGAAGTTGTGGCGCTGAGGACCCGGATGGATTCTAACCCACTCTCCTCGTAGGACTACGATTGTTTCTATGCATCTGTTTTTGAGAAGGAAAATCCATCTCTGAAGGAAATGCCGTTAGTGAGTGAAATAATCCAACGTCCAAAATTAGACGCGCGTGAAATTGACGATCCCCTTCAAAGGCCGTGCAACAGGTACCCGATATTCCTCCACTCCACATCCGCCCGCTAGCCTGTTAACGCTAATCTAGAAACAAATCATTGTATGAAACAATGTCAAAATTCAGTTCATCCTCTTGAGTCATTAATAGCATCAGCAGGTCACTTGCAATTATGAAGCCCGAAGACGTGGTCTACACAAACTTCAGCTGATATCCGAAGCCAGAAAGATTGTTCCCGACGTGGTCATTGTCCTAGGCGAGGAGCTAGGACGTTTTCGGGATGCCTCTAAATTGCTATACAAATTCTTGGCGAGCTTCTCATGGAATGGGAAGGTGGAAAGGCTCGGATTTGATGAAGTGTGGATGGTTCGTATTTTCGCAATTCTGTCTTTCAAGACAAACGAGGCTTTGGGGAGCCATTAAGCATGCATGGCTTTCTTATCTCAAGTCATCATAATTGTCAAAGCATGCTGATGTGATTGCACTTGCAGGATGTGACCGATTTAGTCGACTACAACCGGGCTCTGCTAAACCCGCACGATATGACCAACTCGTTTTTCCAATTGAAGCAGGATGACCCAACTGTTGGGTTTTTCTATAACGCGACAGGAATTGCCGGTCATTTCTTTCCTGACCAACCGCACCCGCCAATTCTCGACCTGAAAGACGACCTGATGACACGCCTCATGTTGGGTTCGCATTTAGCACAACACATCAGAGTAAGCCTTGAGCAAGACCAAGGCTACACCTCCACGGTAGGTATATCCACCAACAAGATCTTGAGTAAGCTAGTGGGCAACGTCTTCAAACCTAGAGATCAGACAACTCTGCTACCACCTTACGTGAGCGTAAACAAAGCCTCACCAACACCTAGTGACAAGGCAGAACGCCAGAGTAACATATCTCTATTTTTAGACAGTCATGATATTGGGAAGCTGCCAGGGATCGGATTCAAAATGTCTCAACGGGTTCGTGATCATATCCTATCACGCCCAGCTGAGTTCGAAATCGGACTTATCTATGGCGGCACCAAAGAGTCGGTCACAGTTCGAGACGTTCGTCTGTTCCCCGGGATGGGACCAGAATTGTTGGAGAAAATCCTAGGAGGCCCGGGCACTGAACGAGGTATCGGTGCAAAAGCATGGAATATCATCAACGGAATTGATGACACCGAAGTCCAACAAGCAAGGAAAGTTCCTTCTCAGATTAGTATCGAGGACTCTTACATCCGGCTAGACACCATGCCCGAAGTTCTAAAAGAGCTCCGCATGTTGGCTACAAGTCTCCTCAAGAGGATGCACTCCGACCTCCTCGAGGACGACGATGATCCCGATTCGGTAGGAAGCAAGAGATGGCTAGCCCATCCCAAAACCCTCCGTCTCTCCACAAGACCACGACCCCCTCCCAATACCGATGGCACAACAACCCGAAGCTTCAACCGCATCTCCAGATCCGGACCTCTCCCAAACTTCATCTTCAATCTCAAAGACAACACCGATGCTACAGTCGAGAAATTGGTTCAAGTGGCACTCATACCCATGTTTCGTCGACTCCATCCACAGCAAAGCGGATGGAACCTCAGTCTTGTGAATATCGCCGTCACCAACCTTGTCGAGACTGCGAGTGACGATGGGAAAGGCGGTGGACGGGATATCGGTAAGATGTTCAGAAGACAAGAAACTATATTAAAAGAATGGAAGATTGAGGATCGGGATGTTCCACCAGATCCTGTTCTATCAGTAGAGAATAATCCCGGTGACGTTGCTAATGGTACCTCCACGATGGTTGGTTATGAATACCCTACTGTGGCGGAGGGTAACTCTCTCGTCGTAAGATCTGAAGACATACTTCCTCAGACTCAAAATAGTGTCGTCTCGGGTTCTTGGGATGAGGATGAGGATGGAGATGAGGATACGGAGATGTGTGGGGTTTGTAAAGCGAGTATGCCTGTTTTTGCTATGGCTGCTCATCAGAGATATCATGATCTTGAGGGATGAATTGATGGAGCTATTCTGTATTGTTACATGTGGCTATCTGATTGTGAAAGTTTATGTGCTTGATTTGAAATGTAGAAGTACACTCTTGTACTGTAAATATTTCTATTGGAGGACTTTGGGGTTCTAGTCAGATCTCTAACGTCGACATCCAATGCATAGCAGGAATTAGGAATTACACATCGATAAGTATCGCTTCACCTTTAAACCCCAATTTCATAATACTTCAACAAGATACAACAGAAAAGAAGTAAAATACACCACGTAGGCTACACTATCTCTCTAACTCTCACCTCATCTAATTTCCATACTATAATAGCCATACCTACATTACTTACCCAAAACCGAAAAACCAAAAACCCAAAAACCATATAAATAGATACCCATCCCTTCTAATACTCATACTTACCAGCATCTCCAGGCTCCAGCGATTCTATATAATTCCTCTCCTACCTAGGTTGTTCTTTTGTTCTTTTACGCGCGGTAAGATTGTGAGAATGAGATTATAAGGTTGTGAGATTACTTCAAAGAAAGAAACGCCATGATTTCGACTCTTAGTAAATTGTAATTGTATATTGAATATATTAAATAATTAAGAATAGTAATAAGGAAGGAAACGAACCATGTTCACTATACTAGGAGTGATTAGTTCGAGATTATTATCGCCTAGGGGAGAGGGTGAGGGTGAGTCTAGGTTTAGGTAGTACTTACGATTGAGGATTAACGTACTGTAATAATTTACTTAGTAACGAAAGGAAAGGAAAGTAAGGTTTTAAGTTTTAACGCATCTACTCGTATAAGCCTCGAATTCTCCCTCCCTAATATAGACCTAGATGTATATCTTTTCCTTTTATATTATATCTATAAATAAATACGTCCTAGTAAATCAAAACTTCAAAAGGTTCAAAAAGGTATATCTAGCATCTACCTGGAATAAGCTACCGAAAGAGAAAGACGTTGCGAGATAAACAAACTTTTAAGTCTATAGACTATGGTTATAGAGTTAGTTAGGTCTGGGAAACGAAACCTGGTTTTTGTTATTTATTTTTGTTTATTTGTTTACTTTCCTTTTAAGGTCTTCCCTCGTGGTTTTAATCCATTAATGAGAAGCGTTAAGGAAGAAATTTTACCTTAATTAAGTGGAGATGAATAATAATAAGTAAATACCTCCTCACATGGATACGTCAAATATTCACAGAACGTAAACACCATACTTAATAACAACCCCCAAAAACTCCATTTCGCAAAGAGAGATGCTACTACTTCTATTTTAAAAACTCGGTCCCTCTAGGAACCGTGTTAGGATATACCTACTCCTCCCGCGCTAGACGGCCCTAGGTATAAAACCTTCTTAGGAGCAGGTATTACCTACTCTTAAACAAGAACCGTGAAACCTTATACCGTACTAAATATATAATTCTTTATTTACTTGTCTACTTATTTATAGGGGGGGGGAAAGAGGTTAATAGAGGTATAATAGATATAGAGACTTATAGGACGGCAAAATAGGAAAGTACTTATAGGGAGGGAGAGGGGATAGAAAAGAAGGGTTATTAGGATCCCTGCGATTATACTCCTAACGAGTATAGGGGTTAGAACTTGGATAGTGGAAGTGGTTATGGTTGTAATCGTGGCTGTGAAATTTATGTAAGATTATAAGTAGAGTAGGCTACCTAGAGTGGAAAATATACGTTACTTCTCTTGGATAGGTTGTAGAGGGCTTATTTGCCTCGAGCTCTATTGTAGGTATTGATTGCTCGCTAATGGTATATTTACATTTGCACTTACACTTTACTCTTATCTTACATAGTACAAGTTAAACAAACTCCTTCAACACCAAGAACCCCATCCACCACAAACCTCAAAAGATAATACACCCCACTCCCCCTCTCCCCATCCCTCCACCAAAAACAACCGGGGAAAAAACGATTTACCCCCTCAAAACACTCCCCAAAACCCTCCCAAAAACCCCTCTAACCCTCTCAGGCCTCTCTGCAACCGCACAAAACACCACCGCAACACTACACGCAAAAGCCGCCCTTTCCCTATCGCGATTCTCCCACTTATACCGTCTCGGAAAAAGCGTCGCCAAGGCCCTCGGTACCACAAAAAGACTCAACTCCTTGCGTCGTCCAGAGGGTTCAAGGAGGACACTCCATCCACAGAGTATGCAGCCGGAGGCAACACAGAGACCTTGGTCGAGACGTTGGTAGGCCGATGTGGTGGTGCCCAGGAGACGGGGTCCGAGACGGGTGCGGGCGAGACAGATGCCGTAGTAGTATGTTGCGATGAAAGTTCCCAGGAAAGCGGAGGAGCGGAGGGAAGAGAAGAGGGCTTTTAGGAAAGCTGTTTTGTTCCGTTTTCTCAGGGCGAGGAGGAGGTTGAGGGGGAGGTAGGTGGAGAATGCCCAGGTGAAACTTCTCAACCACCGTGAGAGGGCGTGGTATTCGCATGATTTTCCGGTTCCCATGTGAACTAACTCACATGGGTAAGGGATGGAGAGGACGGGGTCGCCATATGAGGCTGGGAGGTTGTAATCTGTTGCCATGGAGGAGAGGAGGTGGGCTTGTCCGGTTTCTACGCCGTATTGGATTTCACCCCAGCGGGTGCGTCGGAGGGCTAGTAGAAGGCGTTGGTCGACTTGAGCGGCGGTTTTGATCCATTTGTTGTAGGATCTTGGGAGGCGGGAGGGGGTGTAGATGAATGCCCACATTATCAGAGCGCAGGATGCTGCAAAGACAGAGGGGTCTGCTAGGGAGGATATCAAGTTTTCAAACTGGGAGAGTTAGTATCATTCTATGGTATTGAAGTGGATTGGTTTGTGATGAAGGATGAAAGTGGTAGTACAAGACTATGTTCCATCTTTCTGGAATAGAGCCAATAATTCAAAAAGTTATTGGAGACAATCCAGAAGATCAACTGAAGTATTTACAACAACAAATTCGATCGTTGCCAAAATCTTGATTAACAAATCAAACACCCCAGAGACAATATCTAAAAATTGATACATACCTTGAGTCGTTTGCCAGAAGCTTTTTGTTTTCTTTTTCGTTGAGCCCATAATTCTCCCACTATTACATCAATAGCTCTGGTAACTGCAAACAAGGTCAAATCCATGGTTCGACCTGCAAACTGAGCAGGTCTGTGGATGATCCCAGTTGAAGTTTCTTCGGGAACATAATCAATGAACGCATCACTCTTTTTTGTTTGGAGAAGACTGAGACTGAACCAAGCAGCTATGAAAGTCGAAATCCATCGTGTCAATCTGTGATAAGTCAGTATCTCGATATGCAGGACGTCTTTCTCGATTGATTTAGTTAATATTGCAAGGGGTTCATATAACAGATGAGCCGGAACCCGGTTCTGGGGAAAATCGAAAGAAGCTTTTACCTCAGTCTCACCAACGGAGATCTCGATGATGCGAAAATGGCAATCAATCCTTGTATAGGAATCTGGAGAATGTTAGCCAAATGAAGAAAGTTTCCTTCTTACTACTATCACGTGCCTGGAGAAAGGTGGAACCTCCAACGAGAGCGGCGCAAAAAGTAGGGAAGCGTTGCAACTCCAAGCCACCTCTCAAGATGCCTAATAAGGATGACAAGAACTTGCTATCTTTTCCCTCCACATCTTTGTTCCGACGACCCAGATAGGTCAACAAAAGGGTAAGTACTCTTGGGGCTGTACTAGATAGATAACCCAAAAAGTACGCTCGTAGTACCGGGCGAAGACTCAGCGGTACGTTATTTCTTAATCGTAAAGGGCGACCTTGGTTGGTGGTGGTCTCTATTGCCATGGCAAAAACAAGGCGGGAGATGGATCCTGGGGCTGCCAATTAGCACAGAATGATCTACAGAATAATGACAGTTTCAATAATCCCGTTTGCGCTGCCAACACGACGCAATAGTGTTGCAACAAAGGCAATTGACATGTACATACGGAGAAGTAAGTATCATCCCTGGGGGTCAATTGGACACCGAAAAGGCCTTTACTGGGACAGATGGACTGGCAAACAAGAGGGTTGCCGAGGCACTTCCACGATCCCAAAAGGGCAATACCGCCGGAATTCGATGCAAGGGGAGGGAAGGAAAAAATCACACCTTTTTGGCTAAAGTGTAAAGAACGATCATGGAAGCACGGCCAAATTGCAGAGGGGCAGGTTGCAGACAGGGTCTAGAAAAGGAAGGACTGTGGGTGGATGGTGTGGCCATAGGAGATTTGATGAAATGATTCATGGAATGTTGCGGTGAGGGTGAAGTTGGCGATGCGATGCAGTGTTTAAAGTTGGACCGGTTTGGGGATAGAAGGAAGTCAGATTCACTAATCATGCAATACTTCGTAACATTGAAATTGAATGCGGAGGAGTCCGGGGTAAGACGTGATGTGAAGTTCAGGGTAATGGTCCGTGGGAGGGGGGGAAGGAAGGGGGGGAA